AAAGGGCACGGCGCGTGCCCCCCCCCCCCCCCCATACCAGATCCTTATCCTGCATAGGGGTCTAGTATACATTTTAAGGGTTGAACCGATAAAATAAACAAGAGAAAACCAGTCTTGGGGTTCCCGCACGCACATCAGGATCCCTCTCTACATCCATTGTAGGCTGTGCACTCTACAATGGTGATATGATGCATCCAGATTCAGCCCTGGCAGGGCTGTGCAGTCTACAATGGTGATATGATGCATCCAGATTCAGCTCTGGCAGTGCTGTGCACTCTGTCATAGAGATTTTATGTAGTCAGACCTCTCTTGGAGGCATCACATCCCCGGGAGCCTCCTCAAGAGGGACACTGCAGCCTGGTAAAGGACACGTGGCTCTGTGGCGCAATGGATAGCGCATTGGACTTCTAGCTGTTGTAGTGATTCAAAGGTTGTGGGTTCGAGTCCCACCAGAGTCGCTTTTTGTTTATTGTTTAAATGACCTATTTTTGCAGTTTTTTTTAACAGCGTTTTCATGCACATTAACCGAAAAATATAAATGTATTTGTTGCACCGTAGGCACCGCACTGATTTATTACACAAAGATTATTATGCTCCGACAGCTGCCTCAGTTCATTGTGATAGAGCTGTGCTGAATCATACACTGCTGTCACATAGCACTGCTTCCATTAGGTATTCTGCTGATTTGGATAATATGAAAACATTTATTTAATATGCTGCTTTGTTAGCACAGACATTTTACACAATTACAGAATCAATAATGAGAAAAATAGAAAAAAAAATTTAGTTGCATTGGCCGGGAATCGAACCCGGGCCTCCCGCGTGGCAGGCGAGAATTCTACCACTGAACCACCAATGCTTCCTATATACGATTACTCGCAGAAGGGTCTATATACCTATGTCTGTACCGACGAACGCTCCAGAAGCTCTTTGTGACCTGCAAAGCCTTTCTTCTACATTGCAGAGAGGTCTCATCCTGTGATGGTCCATGTTTGTTAAAGGAGAACTATGGGGTCAGGGCTTTTCCCCATAGTTCTCCTAAGGGTAACGGGAGGACACCCTTAAAGTTCTCCCGTGACCCAAAGCTCAGTATACCGCAAACTCTCTACAGGGACATGATCGAGAAGTGAGCGAGCGAACGCCGGTATGTGTTTGCTCACTTCCCGATCTACTGAGCCGACCTGTGACAGTTTCATTGTCACAGGTCGGCTCAGATTATGAGGCTGAGCGAAAATCAGTTGCCTCATAATTCTCCTTTAACACTGTTCTCCTTTAGCATCTGAGGCAATGCCATACTGAGATGAGCAGCAAGGGATGAGGGGGGTGCGGCCCGCACCTGGATGACACCATTGGAGGGGTTACACCAAAATGACCGACAGTCATTTTGGTGTCACCCCCCTCAGAAAAGTCGGGCGCTCGGTCATGGACCGAACGCCCGACAGTATCAGGAGAGAGAAGAGGGGACTCGGCGGCATACCTTATCCCGCCGGGTTACTGTCCCCTCCTCTCTCTGCCGGCGTCCATCACCAAGATGGCCGCCGGCAGGTATCAGAAGATTGACGCACGTGCGCGATGACGTAATCGCGCACACACGGTAACGTCACGGCGAGTCAAGGGGTGACACCCGTTAACCGCTCCGGGTGTCACCCAGCCTCGGGATGCCCCTGGTGTATTGCTCCATGAGATGGTCCGGATTTACTCTCCCTGCTGCCCCAAGGCCAGGTTCCACAATGCGCCTCCCTCCCCGCCACACCCCGCCATGGAGAATGCCAACCAGATAGCCCTGGGTGGCATGGTTAGTTTGACATTTTTTTATTTTTTTATTGTTTCTTTCTTTTTTTTTTACAGGTGACCGGGTCCTAACATCTGCGGGCACTTTGCGCCTTATTTCTTAAGTCAACTTATACAGTATCACATTCATTTGGACTTGTTCTGTAGTGTTCATGGGAATGTGACCAACTACTTCAGTCTATATCATGACCTGGATGAACAAGAACCTTCACAGACATACTCTTCAGCCCTCATTCTAAATGTTCTGCTGACCCCTTCCATATCCCACTTCTCTTTACAATCCCGAACGTTTATCACATGGAAGTGCAGAAAGTTGATTGCAGTCATTCTTTTCACTACGGGACAAAAGCCACCAGTGTTATTGTCCACCAAATGGAAGGGAGGAGGCATCAGGCAGAGGAGTCAAGAAAGGGGGCAGGACGTGGCCATGGCTTTGAAGTGAACAGAGGGGGTGTGGAGATGGGAGGGGTCAGAAGGGGGATTTAAACTTGGAGCAGGCTCCTCATGCCAGTATTTGCAACTGTGATCATGCCTGATATGGAGTGTGCCGAAGCTTTCCCATCCAGGAAGGTAAGCCATTCATGAGATCCCATCCCTGATGTATACATTGTATCTGATTACTTCATGACCAGATCATTTCCAGGATCATGTGAGGTTGTTATGTGTGGATAGTCCATGGAATTGGAATGGACACTGGGAATTCAAAATCTGGCATTTTGTTAGCTAGTATAGCCTAGAGAGTATCCAATGTATACCCTATTACCCCCCCCCCCCCCCTCCCCCCCCCCCCAGTTTCAACCACGAGC